CTATGGGTTATCCTTAGCAAAATCCACCACTTCCGGTAGAAAGGAGATTTACCCTTGTATTGGGCAGATACATGTAAAATTGTCAGCTCTATTTCAGAGGTGGAATTTGACAAATTCGCCAACTGAAAAAGCTAACAAGTCCATCGTTATGATCTGTATCCCAAATAGATTCCTTGGACCTTCCACGAGGTAGTAGACAATAATATGTGTAGTCGAAATCACCCGACAAATGATCGAGGATGCACGACTGGAGGTCACGTTTACCAGCCAATTTTTTTTTTTACAAAATCCAGTCCATGTCAACACACACAGACCTGGGTTTTCTTGCGTTCATGTTGTCCTATCGGTGGATCGAAGCGGATGATAGGCCGGGGCATGCTATGGAGAAAATAATTTTTGTATAACATAAACACCGATGAACTAAATCTTGGTCAATCAAGCAACATATATATTTGGAGTGCTAGCTAGACATCACAATTAGAATGGGCAAACTTACCCCAAATCATGATCAATCAAGCAACATATATATTTGGAGTGCTAGCTAGCTGCAACAAAATACTACTACAGTAAATTGCTGCGTATCCCCATTGGCATTGCAACTGAAAACCATCATTCCTTGGCAAAAACGTACTAGTCCAGTTCAAACTGACTTAAGAGGACAACATAGGACAATCAGTATGTTACGATCAGGATCACATCTTGTCAATGCGAACGTCAAGAGACACCTCCTTGGATGCCCCAGAACCAACCAGATAAGTAGGCAGCACCATCAAGAAAGACGGCAGCTCCTCCACGGCCACCTCCCCAGGCCTCGTGCTGCTCGTCACTGGCTTCATGGCCAACAAAATGCTGCCTTCTACGCTGCTTGGTGGTGGCGGACCATTCGCCTGAAGCTTGACAGCGTACTGCGGCCATGAGGATGCCTCAGCTCTGATGCACACCACAGACACGACGCCGAACACGCCCATGACCAGGAGGAACACGCTGTCGTCCCCTTGCCCATGGAGCAGGCACCGCGGCCGCGTCACCGACAGCCGGAGCTGGTGAACTTGGCCATAATGGACCTTGTGCACTGGCATTGCGTGCAGGGCGATCAAGTGGCCGAGGAGCGCCTGTGGTGCACCGACGAAGCCACAGCCAAGCTCCGTGCAGAAGCACGGCACGTGCGGGCACACACTTTGATGGTCGTCGAGCTCGTAGTAGGGGACGTAGCTCCCGCAGCCATCATGGTGGCACTTGACTGTCAAGGAGGAGACGATGGCGTCCAATGACCGGATGTGTCCAAAGCCACTGCTGTGCTCACACGTCTGGCACAGTTTATAGGGGAGCCCGATGAGGCATTTGTAGCAAGCCAAGTGCCCGGCATTGCACTGCACAAAATTGTAAAGATTACGGACATCCTCAGACCTCGAACAAATAGAACAATAAATTGATGGAGCATCTATCTATTATCTTATAATATTAAATATTAAAATCACAATACATGTCAAAAATAGAGAAATATGCTAGAAAGAAAATGCAGCCAAGGGATCTCGACAATTACCTATTAACATGATATATGAAAGAAATTACCCACCTGTGCCCTAATTACTTTTCCAAACAATAAATAAAGAAAGTTGCGGTCCATAAAAAAACGGTCAGAGCATGACTACTCTACTCTAAAGGTTATTGGTACCATTTACACTTCTTGGATGCAAATACTGTTGCGGTCCATAAAAAATTGAAGTCTATTTCAATTAGCTTGCATGGATCTTAAATATAAGCTAATTTTTACATGGTGAAAAATTGTTTTTCAAAAATCTGGGTGTGCCATGGCACACGTGACACACCCCCTGGGTACGCCACTGTGTTGTCTATCATGCAATGAAAGGAAAAATAGAAGTAAAAATATATTATATACGATTAAAAAAATAACATGGTCGGCAGGCTGAAGCATGATGCCCTCGCATTTGCCAGGGCCACCTTGCTAGTTAGTGAAAGAAATTAACCTCGAAGACAGGGGGCTTGATGGGGCGGGAGCACACGCTGCAATTAAGCAAACTCATGTCCATCTTTATGGTAACTTCTTCGGCTTGCTTCACCTGGCCACTCCCGGATAGCTCCACACGTGCCTTCTTGGTGCTCCGATCGTCCTTCTCCATCGTCAACAGCAAACCCCTGCGCCTTTCCACAGTGGTATCCGGAGGAACCTGCACACTGTCCATAATCTGCATAGAATTCATGGAGGCAAACACATCACGTCGTGAACTGGAACCCACAATGACATAGAGATGTTTCTTCCATGTAATTAAAAGAATACAGTCGTGGAAGTGAAATGAAGTGCGGGAACAAACTTGTGCCGAATGCGGTTCATCAGAAGGACCAGCAGACTGCAATTGCTCGCCACTTGTTGGAAAAATTATGTGTTCTGTCAAGGAACTGGGCGCTGCAACTGTAAAATCAATGTTAAAACGGAATTGTTTTCAATTCATGAATCATTTATATGTATGCTGTAGAGATTTGTACAAGGATAACAAATTCATGATAATACAATACCGAGTTCATAGCATGTTACATACATATTGATTGGGACAAATCGTGCCAATTAATGGGTGAAAATGTTTATGTAAAATCTGTATATAACCTGCAATATATAGAGAAGGATTATGTACCTGATGCTCGAGCTGGTGTATCTAACACTACATGTTCAACAATGGGCGAGCTTGATGTATTATGGGTTGTTCTGGCATTGCCAAGCTCTGCTAAAATGGGATGCTTGTTGTTATTCTGATCGGTGTCGGTGATTGCAAACTGATCGGCCAGAGCATCAGTATTTGAATCAGAATCAGAGCATTTTACTCCTTCAACAGTGTTACCATTTGGCATGTTATTAAGCACCGGAGCATAGACAGACTCTTCTAGACAGCGTACCTATTTGAATCAGAACACACATATTAATTGTAGCAAACAAAATACACAACTTCGGAAAAAGAAAAAAAACACGTCTGAAAAAAGTAACTTGAATATAAATTTGCACACGTAATAAACTTGATCGGTCATTAGATTGGTTAAATAAATGCTACATAAATAATTCATTGGCTGAATGTTGTTATGGGTCTTCTATTGCATGTAGCAGTATAGACTATATAGCATGACATTCTTTTGAAACAAGGCATACATTCATATAATAACGAATATTGTGTTTCAAATAAATAGTATATCACAATTTGCTTACAGAATTTAGTGGTGCACAAGTAATTACCGGCACGAAGCTACCAAAGGGATGTGCAACTACCCATTTGGATGTGAAGCAACCCATTTCCGTAGTGACAACACTCAAGCGTGGAAAGCCATCAGGAACTATGAGTGTAGGGTGTTTCGCAAGATCGATGAAAATGACCTGCATCTCAATGACAATTATGGAAACAAATTTTGTAAATTAACATGTGACATCAGCACAATCAAGCAGTTTATTATAGCACAATAATGATAGTTTCCGTAAGTGTGGTTGGAATGTTCTTACACTCAGAATGTGCACACAGCCCTTCACATGGACACACAATCTATCCGATTGTTTGTAATCCTTGATTCCTTTGAATAGGCAATCAGCAACCAAATTGCACCAATCCATCTGTTTGAGATTACCAACCTGTCGAGCAGCTCCTAGAAATGACCTGCTGACACTCACAGATGTATTTGGTGCTAGATAAATTGCAAGTATCGCCATCATAAAGGCTATGCAGAACGGTTCCTCCTCAGTTATGCTGCACATTTCTTCCGCCACTTCCTTCGCCTTCTTCCCTCTCGTATCCCAAGTGTACTGTTCGTAGAGAGCATCGTCGACATGGAGACCCTCTATAACTTTGATGGGTCCTGAAGGAATTCCAAGGACAAACTTCACAAGGGGCCTCACTGGAATTGATATGCCTTCGTCAAATTCTAGCTCCTCGGTGTCACAATTGAACTTATCAACCAGCCATAGGGTTAGATCTTTATCCATCTTAAAATCTTGCATTGACAAGATGCTCTCAAACCCAATTTTCCTGACAAAACCTATCTGCTTGTCACTAAGACATTTCATAAATGGCGGAAGTTGGTGAGGTGAACATCTATAATGCACATTGTTTTTGTCCTAAAAAAACAAGGAACGAGTGGATTAGCCAAAAAGATTTATTATATTATTAAAAAAGACAAACTACCCATCATATTCATCCGCATAAGCTAAAAATATTGAAGTCATTGATTTTGATTGTAATGGTTGATTTAATTTCCAATTAAGGTTGCGCACAAAACTATTGGCACATGCAAAAAATTTCATAGGACATGATGACATGAGCAGATAGAACCATACTATAACGGCATATAGAAAAGTTAGAAACTCTCAATTTACCTCAAAAAATTTAGGAAGTCCATGTCCTACTGAAAGGTACAACCATTGTCAAACAGATTGCATGCAAGGAAAAAATACGTTGGCTTCTAGAAACGACTCTGAGGGGAGAACAAAAGGCAGAGACGGACTCTTCCAACGAAAACATATGCAGACTATTCCATGCTAAAAAATCACATGGGCTCACATGGTCGTAAAAATTCGTAGAATTATTGGTCGGCAAGGCCGAAAACAAATCCCAGTATTGAAAAGGCTGGAATATCAAGACCCCACGTGCCAACCCAAGCTGCACCTAAATAAGCTTCACTTTGTTCTAATAAAAAAACTAAAGGACCTTCACTTTATTGGTATAGATCAGATTAGAAATATATTTGTGATAAACAGTCAGGTACCTCTATTCTTGAATCGATATCCCTCTGTCTTATTATCCTACTTCGATTTTTTATCTCGATGTCTACTGTGTATTTGCCTTATATATTTTGGGAATGGTACAATTTAGACTGAAAAATAGTCTTTTAAAATTTATAAAGGTTCAACATAATCAATCAAGTGAGCTAAATTCTGGATTATTTTTACAGGAACGATCATTTATATTTATACAAGGAAAATCAACCTGAAACTAAAATGTGAGATAACTACAGTAAAATAAAGTTGGCCCAAGCAAAACATATACTAGCCTATATGAATAACGACTAGTGGTGGACAAAAGTGGCAGAACCCATGGAATTAATAGCAAGGGAATGAATGAAGTGGACTGGAAATATATAAACTTCACATGCAGGTGATCTAAGAAAAAATCTTACATGCAAGACATGCATGGAAATAGATAAGAATATGGTACATATCAATTTCAATAATAGGCTAGGTGTGTAGGCATCTTAGCCTATTCTTTATTGCCGGATGTGGCGCTTTGCATACTTATTTTCTCCTTTTTTGCTCGGACTTTGAGCTTCATTGGATGTTAAGACTATGTTTCGATTTCTATTAATATGGCTGCATGCATCGACTGATGGAGAGGCCAGAGGTATTCCTCCTTTTCTAAAAAAGAAACACATCAATTTCAATGTGATTTGTGTGCGACTGGAAACAAACATGTCATACGAGAAACGAGAAGGAACCACACAACGATAAACATAGAGGAATAAATATGTCAAATATGCAATTTGTCATTTTCTGTTATTCTACATATATATGTTGATGCAAAACAGCACAAATGAATACAAAATCAGTTATAAGCATGAGATGATGTTTTTAGAATTCAGATGAAATTAGACTGATAATTAATTTTGCTTAGATGGCCAAGTGGCATGGTAAGACCATGTTGATCCACATGGGCTAAATAATTATCTGATCTGTGAATTATATGCTAGGTCCAAGATTAAATAATGTATGCTCATGAGATCCTGACATACCGATTGAGATTAAATTTGCATGACAATCGGGAATGACAGACCACTAATCCGGAGCTGCCCAAGCATATACGTGAACAGAAAAGGAGTTGGCATGCATGTGATGACATCACTGCCAATGTAAAAAGGAAACTTATACTGCTGCTTTGCTTTGTGCTTGCTTTCCCAGATCATATGTTAAGTTAGCATCTGACGGACTTCTACGTATCAAATCTATAGTCATAAATACATCAATGGTTATTATGTAGACAACGATTTGCATGTCTAATTTAATTATGAAAATCAACATAAAAAGTAAAGTTATTTCCATAGCACGCTTTTAAATTTACAAAACTAGACTTCAGAATATAAAAAAATTCAAACAAAACTTAAACCCTAAATGTAGAAACAAAATACAATGAAATGGAATGTTTGACGAGTAGGACACGTAGGTCAATTATTCATTTGGCAGTCATACCTATAGTGTTAATCAAATGGTAAATATGGAGAAAATAATGTATATATGCAAAACTAAATTAGATGCAAGGCAGGCATGTTCCGGGCTAGAAAGATAGCAGATCGATTCCAGTATGATTCGTGTATGAGTTTTTATTTTGCAGGTTAATATGTGTACGAAGTTGTATCCTACAAGAAAACACAACCATGTTTAATACAACATGTAAACTATGCAAGAGCATTTTAGTTGTGCCAAAATATACAAGTCTTAGAAAAACAATATGGGCACAATAAACAGTGCTATGAGAGGAGCGAGTTAAAGGCGTGTGCTTTTAAAACTATTGATTGATGTATATCTGTAATTATATTTTTCATGAAGGAAGTATGTACAAAAGGTCTAATAATAATTCTACACCATATATGAATCCCTAATTGATTGGCTTGAATAATATAGGTGATAAGACTATACATCCACTCTCCAATTAAGTGAGCTAAGCTCCATTTCTCTCTCAGAGTTACATTTCCATAGAATGCCAAGTAAAAAAAACACGTGAAGCACGAGAAGAAAGTGACATAAATTGGGAGTGATGGAGAGAATGTTTCATCACAAAGTGATAGAAAAATATATATTATATAAGGTATAGAAATTTTATTGTGATAAGATTATGGAAGTAAATTAAAAAGAACATAGACACAATCACAGAGAACAGTACAGATGGTGCAAGGGATTTTTTTTTCATATATATATTAATAATAAGACTTCTTATTCAATAGCCATGCAATACATTAGGATGCTATAGAGAGTCTAGATATATGTGGATGCATGTAATTCTATATATACAAAACACCGCTGCAGCACATTCACCGAGAAGGTGAGTGGACAACGTAGGTCTCCTGATTCAGATGCAAACTATCTATGCTTCTATTTTAATTATAGATGAACAAATTTACGAAAAATAATGGTAGGAAGAGGACACCAGTCACCAGGGAAGGAGGACTGCAAGAGGAGAACTTGGAGCACTGTATATAAGTCTGTGTTCTCACATACCAAGCAGCGACTTGAGTGTTGTCTGTAATTTGTCAATACTTTCCCTTAATTAAATATTTGCAATCAAAGTGCAATCATGTTTTCATAAGATGTATACATTGACTATATTGAGAAGTTATGTGATATCATATTTTTGAAAGAAAAAATATTAAATATAACAGTACGTATGAAACCTAGCCGCGCAAACGCTCGCTCTCCCTGGTAGTTTTGAACTGAATAAAACATGATGATAATGGAGGATGCCAACTCCTTGAAAAAAAAGAAGGGGCGGGGGGATTCCAGCAATGTACCCTCCCAGAAGATCCAATTGGTAGATTACTATAAGTATCCATGACACTCCCCCTTCTTTGGGTCGGTTCCTACTGGGATTAGCAGGCCTGGAACAGCAAACCGTGAAGCTGTTAGTGATCTTGGAAAGATAGGCGAAAGTAACACTGGGAACTCATACAGATTAATTGAAGGCACGGTAGACAGATCCCAAAACATTGTATATGAGAGAGATTGAAGCAGTTTTGAAAGATCTCTCTCATATACAATGCGTTATAATAGTCGATGTTCTATATTCGCACGAGAGAGATCTCTCACGTGCACGGCCGGAAGCAGCTTTGACCGAGAAGGTGGGTGGACAACGGAGGTCTCCTGATTCAGATGCAAACTATATATGTATGCTTCTATTTCAATTATTGATGAGCAAATTTACAAATATTAATGGTAGGAAGAGAACACCAGGGAACAAGGATGGCAAGAGGAGAACTTGGAGCACTGTATATTAGTCTATGTCCTCACATACCAAGCAGCGACTTGAGTGTTGTCTGTAATTTGTCAATACTTGCCCTTAATTAAATATTTGCAATCAAAGTGCAATCAAGTTTTCACAAGATGTATACATTGACTATTGATAATTTATGTGATACCATATTTTCGAAAGAAAAATATTAAATATAACAGAATGTATGAAACCTAGCCGCACAAGCGCGGTCTCCCTGGTAGTTTTGAACTGAATAAAACATGATGATAAGGAGGGATGCCAACCCCTCGTAAGAAAAGAAGGGGAGGCGGGATTCCAGCAATGTACCTTCCCGGAAGATCCAATTGGTAGATTACTATAACTATCCATGACACTGCCCCTCTTTGGATCGGTTCCTACAGGGATTAGCAGGCCTGGAACGGGAAACCGTGAAGCTGTTAGTAATCTTGGGAAGATAGCCACAAGTAAAAATGGGTACTGATACAGATTAATTGAAGGCACGGTAGACAGATCCCAAAACATCGTGTATGAGAGAGATCCGAAAACAAGCAAGATCCGAAGAGGGGAAACAAGCAAGATCCGAAAACTGATAAAGTAAAACTGGGTATTGATACAGATTAATTGAAGGCGCGGTAGACAGATCCCAAAACATCGTGTATGAGAGAGATCGAAGCCATTAAACGGCGATTCAGGTTTCAAAGCAGTGAAACAAGCAAGATCCGAAAACAGATACGGAAACTAGATAAGGAAATCCTCTGCTTACCGGCCGTGGATGAGCCCGAGCTACGGTTTGAGACTCAGGTCCGATGATAACCAGGGGAAATCAATCGGGGAGAGAACTGAATTTCGCTGCAAATCACGGGAAATCAAGGATGGCGAGTGAAAGTGAATGGTGCCGCTCGCCCTACCCGCATGGTAAGTAGTGGACTGGAGTGGAGGAGCGGGGGAAGAAGAGCTGCGTTTTCCTTAGTAGCGAAGCCAAAGATGAAGGGGTGGCGGCTCGGGTTTGGTACTCCAGTCAGCGTTCCGAGACGAAAAGCCTTTGGGCATCGAGCGACTTTCCTAGGCCGAGCGCTTCTCCGCTGACGGGCTTCTTTTGGGTCTGTCAATGGGAAGTCGTCATTTCTAGCTCGGCGCATCCAGCCCACTATAAAGGAAAAAAAAAACTCAACCCATCCCTACTGACACATGCAGCTCAAGTGGCAACAGCCGTACCTTTTTTAGCAAAAGGAGGATAATCCCTGGCCTCTGCATCAGGACGATACATTCAGCCATAAATTATTAGTAGTGCAAAATCCAACAACCAAACACCATTGACCCAGAAATAAAGCAGAAAACAATCCCTGAGGCCATATACTTCGTGACATTACCTCCCCAGATATTCACTAATCCCTGTGATACAAAACACAACCTAAAAAGAAAATACACAACTCCTATACTACGTCTTCAAGAAGGGGTCGCCGCACGTGCGCCGATGATGGCGAGTCCACCACAAGGTTAAACTCCGGATTCTCATCCCCAAAGCCGAGTTTCAATCCACCACCTTCAGCAAGGACACGACACAGAGGCGCGACGACATAGTCTGATCAGAGATCTTGTGTTTTCCCCGGAGTGCATAAACTCGTTGTTGAAGTCGTCTGTACCATCCGTCCTTATCCGTCTACCGACACCTTGATAGCCAGATACCTCTGGAGGACACATTGGAAGACAAAGACGTCCCATACCGCCCGCCTCCCGCTACTGTTGCAGCACCTTCGATCTGACAGCAACAGGCTAAACTTGACACCTCCGCTAGAGCCACCGTGCATCACCTGTCGGTAGAAGGCATGACTTGACGTCTTCATATAAGACGTTGTGCGTAGCATTCGTTGGTAGCACATCTACCGGTGGCTTTACCCGTCGGCAACACGCACCGCCCCACAACTCCGAAAGAGGCAAATGTGTCACCTGCCGAGCTGCATCGAGCCTGATCTGTTAATGGAGGGGACGTCATATACAACCACCAGCCTCAGAAGGTCGTCACCACCTCAAGATCCAGATTCCGAATCGCCTACACGATCTCGGAGTCCGCCGTCGTTGATGAAGAGGGACCGCTGCCCTGATTCCGTGCGCTACAGGGAGCACCCACTGCCGCGCCAGCCGTTGACGTCGCCCATACAATAGCAACCGCTGCCCATACAACAGCAACCGCCACCGCGATCCCGCATCAAGCGCCGCCGACGCCGGAGGAAGCTCCGGTCGCCACGCGCGTCCTGCGACGTCCCCGGGTGCGGGATCCTAAGATCCGCCGCCACCGGGGCCGCCACAAGGACCCACTATCTGGCCTGTCATCCTCGGCAAAGGGGATGCCTCCACTGCCATGTTCGAATCCGGGCCAGAATCGCCGCCGCCCACTTCAAGACTGGATCCGGGCTGGCCGCCACCGCGCTACCGGCCATGCCCAGCCCCACCTCCATCCTCTGGCCATCTCACCCCGCACCACCACAAACACCTCCAGCAGGAGCCACCGCGCCGCCATGGATCGAGGAAGAGGCCGCACTACCGCAGATTTGGCTCCCTTGCCGCCTTACAGCCCGGGAAGGAGGAGCAGCCCTCCGCCGCCGCCACCGAACGCACGGGCTCTACACGGGCAACAACCGTACCTGGATTCCCAAAAATCTATGTTTGACGGTGGAGTAGCAAAATCATCGAATAAAGGTGTTGTTGGACTTATCTGCAGAGATGACCAGGGGCGTTTCCTTGGAGCGGCGGATGTGGTCTTCGAGGGGATGTCGGATCTCGAAGCTGTTTAAGCTTTCGCATCTCAGGAAGCACTAGTTTTGGCTGAAGATTTGCTAGTGTTCCATGCACCCTATGACCTTGCTATTGCCATGCTTAGCTTCACAAACATGTCTTCTTACTGTTGGGTGCCTTGCCATGCCATGTTTTGCTCTGTAGTGAGTTGCACAAGCTCATCTACATTCCTTCATAATTATGTTCCTGCCATGTTTGAATCTGTAATATAACTTGCTACGTTTACGTGGGTGCCATCATATTTTCTGATCCTTTTTGGCTTATGGTCACTAAGGGACTCTTGATCTATGCTTTGAGTAGAATCATTCCATGCCTTTGTTTGCCATGATAAGTTCTTGTAACATGTTGTTTGATAGCTCTAAACATTGCATCGTGATGATATTTTCTGCAAAGTCTGAAATTGTTATAATTTGCAATCTTATCATGTGTGTTTGAGCATGTTCTAGTGATTTCTGGAGATAGCTCAGTGTTCATGTTTTGACATGCTTTACCTGTACATCATGCCCATGTCTTTTGTTTTCATGTTGGGGTGCTGTAGCATGTTGTTTTGTTGCTTGCAATATGCCTACTTGCTGTTTTGGACAGCTTGTCCTTTAAACTTGTATAGAGTGCATGTGTTGAACCGTTGCTCCGTTTTGAGTGTGCTCTATATGAAACTTGCTTGATTTTGCTTGTAGTTTCATATTATCATGTTGCATCCTTATTTTGAGGTGTTTGCTTGATGTTTGGGTGCATTTTGCATCAATGCTATGTTTAACTTGTGTTGCTCATATCTTCTAGGCCGTAGCTCCAAATCTAATGAACTTTATATGTAACTTGACTAGAATCTCGTGTAGATCATCTTTGTGCATCTTAACTTGCTGTTTAATAACTTGAACATAAGGTTTATTCAGATCTGGATCAATTTCGAAATATGCATACGAGGACTTACCGGAATTGTTATATGTTGTTCCCGGCCTCATTTAAACTTGCCTTGATGTGTTGCTCTTGTTTGCATCATCTCTTGCCATGAGTAGCTTCATGTAGTCTTGTCATGCATCATGCTCGTGTGTGCATCATGCCTTGTTCATGTGTGGTGTGTTTACCATGTTGTGTGCCTCTTCTTGTTAGTTCCTGTTTCGTTGCGATCGTGAGGATTCATTCGTCTACGATTGGTTCGGCTTCATCCGTTCGTCTTCTTCATGGACTCGTTCTTCTTCCTAGCAGGATTTCAGGCAAGATGACCGTTACCCTGGATCTCACTACTATCATTGCTATGCTAGTTGTTTCGTTCTATCGCTATGCTGCGTTACCTATCACCTGTTACCAAGCCATCCCAAATTGCCATGAACCTCTAACCTTTGACACCTTTCCCATGCAAACCGTTGTTTGACTATGTTACCACTTTGCTCAGCCCCTCTTATAGCGTTGCTAGTTGCAGGTGAAGTTGAAGATTTCTCCATGGTGGACAGGATTTTGGTTGGGATATCACAATATCTCTTATATTATTAATGCATCTATATACTTGGTAAAGGGTGGAAGACTCGGCCTTTTGCCTAGTGTTTTGTTCCACTCTTGCCACCCTAGTTTCCGTCATACCGGTGCTATGTTCCCGGATTTTGCGTTCCTTACGCGGTCGGGTGATTTATGGGACCCCCTTGACAGTTCGCTTTGAATAAAACTCCTCCAGCAAGGCCCAACCTTGGTTTTACCATTTGCCTCACCACCACC